TTCAGCCTTCACAAGCCTTGAGCCTTGGCTGAAGATCTCTTCTCTTCTCTGGGATTTCAAAGGTCTGCTTTGTTGCTGAACTTGGGGGAGGCACCTTTCTTCTTAGTGAAACACTCCCAGGAGAGAACAAAGAATTGGTACTATTTTGTCCTTGAAGCTCAGGTTAGGTGTTCAGCAGCATGACGGGATGGGTGCTCATGGAAAACCTCTTAATGTTCAACTTGTGAGGATAAGGCTAGTCTCTTGCAAATGAAGAAAGTGAAAGCTTTGAAGTTGAAAGTGAAGTGATGAAATTCAGAGCAGTTACTTAACAAAGGCAGCATTCCAGACCCTGCCCTTTGCCCTCGCCCTGTTGTCCTGGAACCAGGAGCTTCCTAGAAATACTGTCCTAATAACTGTTATTTGGTTGTCTCAACATTAAAGGCTTAATACTATTTTTTAAAAAAATGCTAGCCTTTGATTCAGATTTCCTTGGAGTAGGGGAACATACTTACTCAAACCTGTGCTTACACATGTTACACATCCGTGTTAAGCACCTCCTATGTACTAGAGTATTTGTGACATGAAAAGCAGATCAAAACAGAGAAGGCCCCTAACGTCAGGAGGCTTATATTCTGTTAGGAAATATAGATGCAACACAGCAGAGGAACCCCCCCCCAAAGATGTCTCCAGGACCCCGAAAGAATAAAGAGTTATTTCTTTGTTACTTTTGTCACTTTGGGGGCTGGAAGTTAAAGCCAGGATCTTGTACAAGTTTTCCAACCATTTTACCACTGAGCTATGTCCCTTACCTGAGGTTGGTCCTTGACATGTGGTCTGGTAAGGTGTCTTTAAAGATGTCTTGGGGTTTTAAGGACAAAAGAGCAACAATGCCAGGCTGGAAGAGTCATAACCTCCGGGCTGGACAAAGGGGATGTAAAGGAAGAACCCTACAAAGAGTGGGATTGACGTAGACCAGGGGTGTGCAGGAAACAAGGGGGCACCAGACAGCGCCTGGCATATATGCAGATTCAGATTCCATAGCAGATTTTACTCTTTAGCCTAAATATAGTTGGAAAGCGTTCTTTTTAACAGGAAGATCACACTGTGTTCTGCCTTCTGGAGCTTAGAGGTAAAGGATGGCAAGAGTAAGAATAGAGAGAGATAGCTAGGATGGGCCAGGAGGCACAGAACACAATGGGTTCAGAATATGAGAAGCCTCAGCCCCACATCAGGTCTGGTTGGAAGGAAGAGGCTCAGGGATGCTTTCGTGCTAGCTCGTAATCGTAAATGAATAGCTGTGGTGACTTCCAATTTGGGAAAGGTGAAGGAGAGAAGGTCGAAGAAAAATAAGCAACCCCTTCAGTGTTAAATTGGAGGCAGTGTGACCCTCCCCGCAAATGATGTGTGGGACTGCACTCAGAGGGAGGTGTGTGCTAGAAAAGATGGGACGCCATGGAAACAGAAATGCCTCTAGGAGTCACAGATTTGGCTAGAACCACCCCTAAGCGCAGTGTTGGCAGAAGATGGGATCCCCAAGCCTCAGCCCCAAGGAAACACCAACCCTCACAGCCTTTACATTCAGATACCAGCAGGGTGTTCTGACCTGAGCAAGGGAGGCATTTCAGGCAGGGACGGTTTCCTCTCAGTCACACGGAGGTCAGCATTGGAGTAAACGGCTTCTAATTAGCAGGGACCACGACACTTTCTAAATTGTAAACGAGAGAGTGGGGATCACTGAAAGAGGCCAAACGAAGAGGAGTGGAAAGGCGTGTTTGTTTCGTGTTAGTTAATACTTGCGAAAATGCCCAGCAATGCCATGTCACCTTTGCGTGTGTGTACTGTGCGTGTTGTGTATATGTGTTCCTGCACATGTGTGTCTGTGTGGAGGAAAAGATAAACACCCAAGCATCTTTCTCAATCACTCTTCCACCTTCTCTTCATGAGGCAGCGTCTCTTACGTGAATCTGGAGCGAGCTTGCCAATTCGGTTAGGCTGTCTGGTGAGCAAACTCCATAGAGCCCCCTGTCTTCACCTCCCCAGGGCTGGGGTTACAGACCACGCCACTTTGCCTGGCTTTTAGGTGGGTGCTGGGGCGTGAACTCAGCTCTTCATGCTTTCGCCACAAGCGTTTCACTTGACGGAGCTGTGTCTCCAGCCTCCCACATCACCCGTGTGTTTTATATCCATATATATGCCTCTGTGTGTGTTTGTCTGTGTTATGTGTATGCGTTCATGGGTGTACTCACCTGTGCATGTGTGTAGAAGCCAGACGATGTTCGGTGTCTTCCTTTATTCTTCTTCACCTGAGTTTTTGAGATGGGGGCCTCTCAGCAAATCCCAAGTTCACCAGTTGGCTAGGCTGGCCGGCCAGCAATCGCTGGGAAGCTGCTTGACTCTGCTCCCCTCATCCCACCATCACTAGACTTACTGACGCACACTGTGCAGGGTCTACACAGGCCCTCATGCTCGCATGGCAAGCACTGTATCTGCTGACCCCTCCCCCTGCCATGTCTTCTTCACATGACTGTCTGGCCTCCTTGCCAGTGGAACAAGGAACATGTCCCATCACAGGCCTGCTGTGTGAAACCAATGTCTTTTTCATTGTAGCCGCATTGAGCACCTCAAATCTCAAAATGATCTCCTCACCATAACCCTGGAGGAATGCAAAAGCAATGCCGAGAGGATGAGCATGTTGGTGGGAAAGTACGAATCCAACGCCACAGCGCTGAGGCTGGCCTTGCAGTACAGGTAGGAAAGCCAGAGGGCGGAAGACATCCTGGGTGGTCTTTGGTTTATTCTTTAAACATGTATTGGTTTATTAATTGATTTCTTGATTGACTGTGTGCATGCATGCGTGAGTAACATACATGCCACAGTGCATGTATAAAAGTCAGAAGAGAGCATGTGAATCTGTCCTCTCTTTCCACCATGTGGGTTCCAGGGTTTGGACCTGGGTCACCAGGCTTGGCCAAAGTGCTTTCATATGCCAAAGCCATCTTACTATTCTTGCAGCTACTTGGCCGTATACACATCTGTAGCAAACTTGAGCACAAAAGTATAAGACCACTTTTGAAGCCATAAGTAGAGGCGTGGACCTGTAAATATTAACAAATTAAACAGATGGTGCCCCAGCTGAATGGAGATAAAGCAATATTTCCCTTGTTCAGCTTGGAGAAACTCATCAAGAAGCCTTGTTATGACCAGCCTCTTGTCTTGACCACATGAATGTCAGGTCTGTCTGCTTCCCGTCTAGACATAGGTCTGTGTGTATTGCAGCACAGTGGAAAGGGACCACTGTGTGTGTGTGTGTGTGTGTGTGTGTGTGTGTGTGTGTGTGTGTGACAGTATCTCTGCCTCAGACTGATGATTGTGCCCTGTCATGCCTAGCAAAGAGGCTGTTCACGTATCCTCAGTGGATGATGGGCATGGAGAAGAATGACTTTTCCTTCTCTTGAACATCTAAGCTCAGACTCTATATGCAACCTAACAGCATTTCATAACACTTTTGTAGAAGTCTGTATCTGTACTTTTTGGGGTGATAGATGGCCATTTTCTGTTTGTGCTCAGTACCGTGGTAACTGGCAACCACATGATGACCGCACATGTAAAATATAGCCACTGAAAGGTTGTTAGGATCTTTCCCTTTGATTTAACTTAAAATAGCTACATGTAGTTGTTGGCTGAGGCTGATCATTTATTTCCCAGCCACCTAGACCTGAAGTAACCACACATAAACTGTATTAATTAAAACATGGCTTGGCCAATCACTTAAGCATATTTCTAGCTAGCACTCACAACTTAAATGAACCCATTTCTATTGTTTTATATTTTACCATTAGGCTTGTGGCATGCTGGCAAGGTTCCAGCTACCAGCTAGCGTCTCTCTTTTGGCAACTACGTGGTGTCTCCTTGACACTGCCTACTCTCTCTCCATCTCTGTTGGATTTTCTGCCTGGCTTTACTTTGTTAAGCTATTGGCTGAAAGCAGCTTCTTTATTAACCAATGACAGTAAAACATATTCATAGCATACAAAGGGAAATCCCACATCATATAGCCATTGTCTACTGTTCAGTATACATATAGGTAAAAATGATCATCTCTGTAAGGGGAGTTTTAATAACTACTGAGGGTTGCATGACAGTTATTACGGTCAGGCATCTGTGAGTGACTTGGCTAGCTGTGCCAAGCCTTTGGTCTCCTGGCCAGTACTGAAGGTCGCATGACCTTGAGGGCTACAATTTCTGAAAGTTTGCCTGGGGTGCTAGGACCTCCTTTCAAGTCGACTCGGTCTGTTCAGAGGCCTCAGTTACCCGCTGGCTGCAGGCTATAAAGTCTTAGTTCCACTCTGCCTGATGCTCTTCATTGGGAGACCCAATATAGGGCCCCCACTGTCCATCAGAGAAAAATACCCAAGAGAGAAAGGGAAGTGGGACTGGTTTGATCAAGATGGAAGTTATAGTGTTTTGAGAGTCTAGAGCTGAGTACGGCATACCATCATTTCCATAAGTTACAGAGACCAACCCTGCTAGAGTCCAGGGGCTAGAAGGAGAATATGCATTCTGGGATACAGGCTCAAGAGAGGCTACTGTGGAGACGAAGTACCAGAGGTGTGTCATGTGTTTCTTTCGAGTGGTCATCTAAAGGACAACCAGTTTGACCCTGCCTTTTATTGCTTTTTATGATTTTTCTAGAACGTAGGGTTTTTTTCTGTTTTTATTTTTATTTTTTTTCTTAAAGGGATTAACATAACAGCAAGTGACTAGTATATCCAGGGCGCACGTCTGTGTGGAATATTCCTCACTTTGTGGGTGGGGAGGCTGAGGCAGGCACCCGGCTGCAATGGCGCAGTGATGGAGATGGTCACCATTCCTTGCCAGGGCTGACGCCATGCTGTGCTTCTATTGCAGTGAACAGTGCATAGAAGCCTATGAACTCCTACTGGCACTGGCTGAGAGCGAGCAGAGCCTCATCCTGGGGCAATTCCGGGCAGCTGGCGTGGGCTCCTCCCCCGGTAAGTGTCCTCGGAGTTCCCTCTGTGCTACTTCCCCATCTTGTCTGCATGGCTGCTGCTGGCATTGTCTCCCAGGAACACGAAATCTGCTTGTCAAGTGTGTTTTCCATTTTCCCTCATGACTGAGTGGGTAAATTGTTTACGTTGAATGGAGCAAGAACTGGAGTGGAAACAGGATCACAGACAAGTTAAAACAAACAAGCTCTCTTAGGAAATGGATTCTCCTGGGCCGACGGTAGGAGCGGAGGGAGTGGGGATCACAGTGCTGTTAAAAGGACCGGCACATGCTGTATGGAGAATGGGCATGTAGGCTTCTTCACAATGTCACTAAAGCTCAGCCAGTGACAGTGCAGGACCTGCCCTGGTGTGAGGGGAGCACACAGTACAATGCTGGAGAGGAAGGAAGCTTGCCGTACCCTTAGTGTGCCCTGGGCACAAGCTCACCTATGCTTTGTGGGAGTGGCCTTCTGGGAGACATAATGACAAGACAATAAACTCAAATGAGCCAGTGTTCCCCAAATCTTCCAAGGCAGGCTATAAGGGCAGGCCAGGTGTCTCCATGTATGGCCCCCAGGCTGTCAGGAAGATGCTCTGAGCTGTAATCTAGAAGAGGGGGGGAGGAAATAGATGAATAGCTGTTAATGGCCGTGCACTTCCTGTTGGCCTTCTCTCTCCAGGAAACAGTACCACAGAGGCTACTCCCCAGACTCCTTCTGAGTGAACCCCCATCCCTGCCACCTCTCTATTGCCACATTTATAAGGACAGTTGGGATTTTCCTCCCTTGGCTTTGATGCCCTCGGGGATCAGCATCAAACCTGAAGATGAGAAGCTGAGCAGTACTGTCCTTTCCTATACCCGGGCTTTCTAACAAGAGAGCATTCATCCTTGGGATTGGTGGCCACCCTTCATTCCTCCGCTCCACCCTCTGGTCCCATCCCCACTGCCTGGCCCAGCCCAGAAGCAGAAACTCTGCCAACATTTCCATTAGAAACCTCATTTTTTTCAGGGTCTTTTTAACTGAACCATAAAATTTTACTCCTCATATGAAACAGATCCTAAAATGATCTTGGCTTGCTGTCAAGTTTTTTTTTTTTAATATGTATTAAGAAAACCATCAATTAAGGGAGAGGAAAAAAAATCAACCATGTTCTAGTTTTGTATCACAAGATGTCTTAACCTATTCCATGAGCAAAAAGCATCTTTATTAGGCCTACACAGTTCGGTTACTTGGTAGGAGTTGAAAGGGCTTAAGCAAATCAACATTTAAACCATTTGCAAGGGTAATGAAGTGCTCATGCCTCCCTTATCCCAGGTAACTCCTGTATGCATTTAGATGACGACACCATGCCTACTTTAGAACAGAGTACAGAGGACAGACAGTTCAGGCTGGTGAGGTGTATGTAAAATTCCGAGCGGAAAAAAAGAAACGTGGTGAAAATGGCTGAAAATCAGTGTGTGGGATCTATTCTGAGCACGGGAGCCACGCCATACTGAAGAGCGGTCTCCCTATTATTACCCGCGTTGTTCTCCATTGTGCTCAGCAGTGCCCAATTTTCATAGCTGCTGACAGTGGCAGTTGGGCCGTCCCTCGGCCCATCGTGCTGCATAAGCAAGAGCTAGCTGGTGACATTTTACTCACAGTGTCAATTACTGTGGTTGTCTTTGTTTGTTATTGATCGCACAGGCACTCATTATGTTCATTCCAGAAGGTTTAGCCCCGTGGTTCTCAAACTGAGCCTCGGGAAACCGAAGGGGTGTCTCTGGGGCTCAGCGGTGGGCACGAAGGGTGAAGGAGCCGAATGGAGCCCAGCCCCTACCGCTTCACCCAACCACATTAATGTTTCTGATGCTCACGATCCAGAGCTTCATGAGAAAGGCGCAGATCTGTGTTGGATGGATAGCAAGCCAGCGGTTTGTCTGGCAGCCACAGTTTTTTTTTTTTAATTGTTTTGAAGCCTTTATGCTTTAGAGTAATGTCTTAGTCACTGTTCTGTTGCTGTGAAGAGATACCATAACCAAGGCAATTCTGAGGAAATATAACATTTGATTTGGGACTGTCTTTACAGTTTCAGAGGTTTAATCATTGCCATCGTGGTGGGGAGCGTGGTGGCACACACGGCACTGGGGCAGTAGCTGAGAGATACATCCTGATCCAACAGAGACAGGGGTGTCAGGGGAGGGAAGGAAGGAGAGAGAGACTGGGGACACTGGGCCTGGCTTGGATCTTTGAAGCTCCAACCCCCCCCCCCCCAGTAGCAACAAGGTCAAGCTTTTTAATCTTTTTAATACTTTCAAGTAATGCCACTCCCATTTAAACGCATGCACCTATGGGTGCCATTCTTATTCAGATGACCGGCAAGTAAATTTCAGTTCCCAGGAAAGTTGAGAGGAAGTGCATAGACGTCCCATGCATGCTTATGCCTAGCCTTCTCCTTTATAAATGACATGTACCAGACATCATTGTTGTCAAAGTCGAAGTTCCTGGTCTCTATTAGAGCTTACTCTCTGTTGGAAACTCCTTGGGTGTGGCACGTGAACAATGACGAGGACCCACCACCATAGCATCATACCTAGTAGTCTGTGCTTGGAGTTGCCATCTTGTGAAGACTCCTTTAGCTGCGCCTTCTCATTCCTTTCTTCCTCTTCTCTCCCAATCCTTAAGAGCCACTATTTTTGTTTCTTTTTCATTTCCATCTATCTCTCTCTTCCCCCCTCCTTTCTCCCCCCTTCCTCCCTTTCTCCCTTCCTTTCTTCCTCCCTTCCTTTATTTCTCTCAAGTTCTAAGAGTCAAACCCAATATCTTTTACCAAATACGCAAGTATTTGAAATTTTTTGCGTGTGTTTGTGGACAGTATATGTACCTGTTCCTATGAGTGGGTGCATGCACTTGCATGGATGGGCATGCATGCATTTGTGTGTGTGCACGTGGAAACCAGAACGTCGAGGTCAGAGTTGAGTGTCACCACCTAACATGTCCTCCCGATCAATTAGTTTCTCAGACAGGATCTCACTATATAGCCCTTGGGTGGCGTGGAACTTGCTATGTAGACCAGGCTAGCCTTGAACTCGCAAAGAGATTGGCCTTTCTCTGCCTCTGCCTCCCTAGTTGTAGACTTAACATATCACCACCTCATATTTGGGGGGGGGCATAGTCTGACTGTCCATCAACCACCAGGAATCTGCCTCTTTCCTCCCCAGCTCCCCTCTGGTGCTAGAATTACAGATGTGCGCCACTACACCCAGCTTTTACGAAGTCACTGATTATCTAAAGTCATGTCCTCATGCTTGCGTGGCAGGTACTTGACTGATAAGATCATCTTCGAAACCCCACTGAGCTTTTTTAATGTCCCCATAGTTCTATCTTTTCCATCCCAGTTTTAAAAGCCACATCGGGAACGTGACTATCTTGAGAAGGAACCAACTTCATTATCTTGGCTTTATTCTTCCTGTACTCCTGTGTCCTGACCTAACCCTGTCACTCAGCTCCTGGAGTCAGCCCCCTCGACCAGGCCAAGGGGAATAGTACTGATACAGAAAATGCTCTAATTTCAGCTCCAACTACTTGTGTGTCCCTGTTACCCAGCATGTGACTCTGACAGTGTTGTTGGTGGGTGGCAATGTGGCATTGTGTCCCAGTTCCTCCCTGCCCTCACTCCTAGAGCTCCCCTGCACAGGAGACACGTGCCTGAGCAGGAAGAGACGCAGCAGCCTAGAAATGTGGGAAGTTAACTCAGTGCTGATGGTGGAGATCATACTGTGTAGCATAATTAAGGAGGTCCACAAGGGCCCAGAATAAAAGAAAGCAAGTATATATTTATTTAGGGAAAAAACTCACAATAAGGGTAGAGAGCTGTGGGCCTCTGTGAACCGAATTCTGACCAACAGCCAAGAGGGAGCAAGGTGCCAGCAGGCTTCCTGTCTGTGCTTATAGTACCTCAGACCACGCCCTTGAAAACCGGTATCCAAGAAGCTATTGGCTGAATGAATTCCAACAACACCACTGTCCATGAGGACTATGGCACCCACTCAGAAAAATACCTTCCCACCCCTCTCAGTTCCCATACTAGCCCAGCCTGCAGGCCTCCTCGGCCCTCCCTCCACATCCCACCCTCAGTAACTGAGAGCCAATTACAGGAGCATAACCTGGGCCTTCCTGACTCCTTCCTGCATCCATTAACCCATTGGCTTCTCTGTGCTGTAGGAGACCAGTCAGGGGACGAGAATATCACACAGATGCTCAAGCGGGCTCACGACTGCCGGAAGACGGCAGAGAATGCCGCCAAAGCCCTGCTCATGAAGCTGGATGGCAGCTGCGGGGGAGCCTTCGCTGTGGCCGGCTGCAGCGTCCAGCCCTGGGAGAGCCTGTCCTCCAACAGCCATACCAGGTACTACTAGGTGCTCTTCCCTGGGACTCCTCTGCCTGGGGTGGGCTTCTCACAGGTCCATGCTAGGGGAACTGTGCGGCTTGGATAAGGCAGGGTTGCTTCATGCTCATAGCCTGTTCTATCCTAGGAGGCAGAGCTGTGAGGAGGGCTGGAAGGTTATTAAGCCCGTGTGGAAAGAACGGTCCAGGGAGACAGGGCTGTAGACTGTACAAAGTCGAATGTGCACAAGCACGTTGTGAATGAGAGAGATGGCAAATGAGCCTACTCTCGCCTGGTGCTCATCTCTCTGTCCTGTTCTATGCTATTTCTTTAGTAGTCTCTGTTTCCAGAAATTACCTGGAGGGGCTACGGCCCACTGCTTAGACCCGGTCTACCTGGGTCTCGTTTCAGATCCTACCCTCTCTCCTTGCACCCCTGTCCTTGAAAAGCTCTTCTATGGCAAGAGACTGGCCTCTCATCTCATTCCTCAAGTGCAGATGTATTTACCGCACCTCCTAGGCAAGCACTTGGTCGTGAACCTGAGGTCAGATCTACCATCTCTGAATAAGTGGGCTCCTAGCAGCAATGAAGAAGGCAGCAAAGAGAGCAGTAGGGACTCTAAGCAATGTCACTGGTGCAGCTGATCTTCCTGGGTGGGGGAGGACACCGGAATGAAGCCCCTGGTAGCTTCTTTGTCATTTCTTGTCACCAAACTCTAGCAGCTGTAATGCACTCCTTCCCCTTACGTGCCCGTTCTCAGACTGCAATGCGGTTGTTGGATTCTTATTGGACTTTCAGGTATAAAAAGCCAAGGGTGATTTATCCCATTTTCACAGGTGAGAGCACGTTGACTTGAGACGTGTAAGTGACTTGCCTGCTAGGAGGGAAATCTAGAACTTCAGCAGGGAGCACGGCACTCCTCCCGCTCCCAACATTAGATCTCATTCATTGTAAGACAGTCTGCTTACATGCAAGGGGCGAGCGCTTCATACAGATCAGTGGGATGTCCAATGCCACAGCAAAAGGGCCCATGTTCTCTTGATGTCTGAAAGCAACTTGATATTTCTCTCTCCCCCTGGAGGGAACCAACCATTTGCTTCAATTTATCTGTATCCATAGACTGAACCCCATGTCCCCGGAGAAAATACAGTCTCAATCCCAAACTTGGTCAGCTGCCTACAAACACAAGGGGCTTATTTCTTCTGAGCTTAAGTAGCAATTGTCTTATTTGGCAGCACATAGATTATAATTTTTTCTTTCAAACCATATTCTTCTGTTTAAATAAGAAGTCTGTGCCCCTTTCCATGATATTCACAGGTACTTATAATCTATAAGTTCCATGTTTGAGTAGATATTCAGTGTTCAGCTTGTCAGTGAGAGTCTTCTGTTGAATTAATGAATGTTAAGAGTTGGGTTAACAGGAAATGTCTTGTTTAATTGTCTGCATACATCTGTCCTGCATATAGCTCTGGAGTAGGTCGAAAGTGAGGACAATTCAGTTGGGGGAGAACTGATCTTGAATACTTGTTACAGGAGATGTTTAAAGTATAGGTAAGCTTGATTGTTAGACCATTTTCTTGAGAAATTGAATTGTTGGTCCTGTAATTCTATAGGTTCAGAGAAATTCAGACATAGACTCAGCTTTGAAGAATGAGCTCACTAAAGACTGGCCATGTAGGGCCATGAACAGGCTCAGTGGCTAAAACCCTGTGTGAGCATGAGGACCCAGGTTCACGCCAGAGTTCAGGTCCCAGAAGCCATACAGATGCTGAGCATGCGTGATGCCTGCCTAGGATCCTAGTGCTCGGGAGATAGGGACAGGTCAAGGAAGATGCCCACACACGTGCAGACATGCTCATCCCCACAGTTGCATGTGAGGAGGACAGAGGGGTTCTTTAACAAACTTTAGTTTCAAATGAATCTTCCATCGAACACAGGTTTTTAACTCTGATTCCGCTAAAATGTCACTTCCCCTACTGCCCTTGCGACAGCAGTTCAGAACCTGTACAGAAGAACACAAAGAACATTCGTGTGGCTCTCCGTAACCATAAAACAGAAACAGTTGGATTATCTTATGATAAATGTAGGTTTGGAACAAAGCTCCTAGCCATCAGCTTACAATAGTCTCAGTAGTTTTATTTATAGGTGTTGGAATTCTGCCTCAAGCACTGTCCTAGGAAAATGGAGCTTTCTGAGCCAGGGCTTTGTGTGGCCCGGGACACCCCCTTCTCTCTCACTGTGACCACCTGACAAGATGTGCAGTCAGCGTGTCCATCAGTGCTACCCAAGGGCTCAGGAAAGGAATGCTCAGGTCAGGTCCCCCGAGGTGTCTGACACTCCCTAGGACAAAGGGTTAATGGCTTTAGGAGGGAGCAGCAGAGGGCTGGTTACCCAGCAAAAAGGATCTGTCTGATATCACCTCTCAGCTGATGCCCTTGGCGGGACCCCAGCATGAAAGAAAAAAAAAAAAAAAAGAAAACATCTCACGTTTGAAAATTACAGCTACAGATCCATTGGAAAGCCCGGTTGTCTTAATGGATGGAGTAGCCGGGCAATGCTGATTGCATCTATAGCAACGCATAGCACGCAGAGAGGCAAACAGACTCGATTGCCAGTGAGTAGAGCTAGGCATTAGCAAGCAGCCTAGCCTTTGTGCCAAGCACTGTGTTTTCTGCTCATTCTGTGGATGTATACTCACGGGTACAAATCCACGAAAGCACAGAAAAGCAGTAGCAAGTGCGTCCTCCTAGAAATTGGAATGGAGGCTCTTTCGTTTCGGTGTAAAATGCGCACAGTCGTGTGCAATCGGTGAAGGGTGATTCAGCCTTGCTGTGAAGCTGCTTCCTGCTTTGGGTACCTAGGATGCTGGCTGGCCAGCGTGCTATCTGGGGCAGGATGCCCAAATTGCAGTGGAAGGCAGTAGAGGACCAGAAGGGTCCCAGTTAAGATAAAGTTTCATGGGGAAGAATGGATTAGACCAGTGGCACACTGTCTGATGGAAAGGTAAGGGCCTGGAATCCAGTTAGGACAGGTCTCTGCGACCCTCAGCAGCAAGTTTCAAGGAACACAGGACTGGTTGTTACAGTGCCATCTTTCAGAAAAAGAGAGGCTCTTCTGCCCAGGAATAGGGAGAGTGTTCTAAGTGCGGGAGATTGATGCTTGCTAGTGTTAGTGAGCACCAGCAGCCAGCTGAGACACACTGATCCAGTCCTAGTCTCCTTCCTTCTTCCAGTCATGTGACTAGAGTAGCAACAGGAAGTGCTTCCTGTACTTTTCTCCTTCTTCTTAAGCCCTAACTTTAGGAACCAGTCGGAACCGTTCACCCATTTTAAAAGACAACAGTTGACATCCTAACATTACAAAATGCACAGTACACAATCTCCTAGTTTCCCATGCTAGAATCCCCACCGGGACACAGGGTAATACTTTGGGATAGAATTCTATAATATCACTGGTGCTTGATAAATTATGATTTGGGGCTGCAAAGGATAGAAATACGTAAAACAGCTTAAGTGGGGTCCTGATTGAAAGGCTAGCATAAGATAAATGCCAGCTGAAGGCACAGGGCTGCCATGCTTCCTGGTGACAAGTCCTGCAGGTGAGCAGCCACACCCGAGGCTCTGCGTCCCACCTTTGTGGCTCTGTGATGGCTGACATTTTCCTCTCCTTGCAGCAGCCTTTTCTAGATGGCAGAAAAGCGGCAGACAGCCTGCATTTATATCCGTGGCTAACTGGTTCGTTAGTGCCTTAAGAAAAGCCCATCTGGGGGCGGGGCCATCTGGTTCTTTTGGTGACCAGGATGGGTCATTTCAGAGTCAGAGATGGCACCTGGTACAGAGGAACAGAAAAAATGGCATTTGGTGTCTACAGCTAATTTGAATGGTTGTGATGGACAGCAGACCAGGTAGAGGCAAGGGTTTGTGGGTAGGCAGACCAAATATGTTTGATTGTGTGTGTGTGTGTGTGTTGAGACAGGGTTTCCCTGTAGCTTTGGAGCCTGTCCTGGAACTAGCTCCTATAGACCAGTCTGGCCCCGAAGTCAGAGATCCCCCTGCCTCTGCCTCCCAAGTGCTGGGATTAAAGGCATGCGCCACCACCACCCAGCTTTGTTTTTGTTTTTGAGCCTGGCAGTCATGTACCCCTCCAGCCAGCAGCTTGAGCAGTGAATTTGTGGTAGAATGTTCTGACAATTAGCTGCTGCAGACTAAGGTATCTTGATTGGTGCTGTATCAGAGCAGAGGATCCCGAAAGAAGCCCGTGGCTCTTGTCTGGCTCCTCAGAAAACTAGAGCTAAACACAGGCAAGTGTGATGAGCATGACCAGGCTCTTCATCTGCAGATTTGCCTTCCATCCTGCTCTCAGAGCACCTCCAGCCTCTCGAAAGTGATTTATTCCCCTTGACAGCTGAGCTCATCCCGCATTCCAGGCGGGGAGAGGTAATGGATGACTTAGCCCTCGCCCAGCGGCCCGCAGCAGCCCCCGGGAGGCCAGAGGAAGGGCCAGTGGCTTCTCCTTCTTTACCATTATCATAATCAAATTGGGCTGTGGAACATTAAGGGCATGAAGCAGAGTTGTAATTACCTTCGCCTGATCTGCTCCCTGCTGGTGTCCTAGAAGGGAGGAAAGAGAGCTGGGCTGTCCTGGCGTGGGCTGTGGTGCTTGCCTTGAAATTCAGCTTCCTCTGAGGAAGGGCAGGGCAAGCTCTTAGCTCCCAATAGGGTAGGATGTGTGGACTGGGATATTCTGTACTTGTTTATTCTTCATGTATAGCAAAGACAGTAGAAGCCAAAACTGTCCTTTTTGGCCAGTGACCAACTGTAAGCCTCAGGTGACAATGAAACCGGATACTCTCTGCCCACTGATGTTCTTCCAGATCTCTGAGGCCATGGAGAACCAACTTCTTGTCTTTTCCTCCTCCACTGCAGCTTTTCTGCATGGTGGCAGGTGTCTGGCCTCTAGGGGACACTGAGGCCGGTGGTGGGTATCTTCACGCAGCTGCCAGCAGTGTCTCTTGTCCTTGTTCCTCACCCAGAATGCGCACTGGGTAGGTACCACCAGCTGGTCCTTCCCTCACTCTGGGAGGTAGGAGCCACCAGTGTCCCTGTTGAGTGCAGCCAGATAAGTTGGGCAATTCCCTCTGGGCCGTGAGGCTGGGGCGTGCCCAAAGAAGGCTGTGCAGGTGTGACTGGCTTCAGAGACCTGCCAGCAATCATGAGCATTCACCTGAGCAGCTCAGTACCCAGCAGCCCCACCCCTAGGAAGATGTGAGGCCAGCCAGTTAGTTGTCTGCTGAGTTTCCATTGGCTGCCGTCCTGGTGGCAGAACGGCATGGAGTCTGTCTTAAGGAGCAGAGTGTTGGCATCCCATAGCCACTCCCAGAAGTCTTGGCACTGTGGGTGTTGGGCGAAGGGAGTGCCACCCTAAAACAAGCCTAGTGAGACTGAAGTCACTACCTCAGTGACTGTCTGAGAGCTGGTGGGGCAAACTAGCCCCCCAGGATAGAAATTCTTCCGTACTTTAGACAGAAAAGCCAGAGAGCCCTAACTTGGAACTCCTTGGATTTTGCACTTTCTATTTGAAAATAAAAGTTAGCAAGGTTTTAGCTATCAATGTCTTAGTTCCAAAACTAGCAGTCTGGAGATAAGATGCCCAAGTGGGTGGCTGGCACATGGATGTTGGTGATTCTCCATATTTGATTTGATAAATAACTTTTTAATGAAAGGACTGGCTCGTACACACCTGAGTTAAGTTGGTATTGTGAGAAGAGATTTCATTGCTGACGCTGAGGCTGCCTCCCAGCTGTCTGGCAGAGAGAGGCCCTGTTGTTTCTCTTGCCTCATTGTGTATAAACCCGGGATCCAGGGAGCAATCTCCACACTCCACCCTGTGGAATGCCTGGTGAACAAGGCTGCCTCCCGAGCTGACTTGGATTCTGTTGCTCTTCACCTGGGGAACACTCACCTTCTGTCCCTTTGCCACTGCTGAGAGCAAGGTGGTGAGCCCTGCCTGAAGGGGTCAATACGTGTGGCATGTCTACCACCGAACTGTTTGCAGACAGGCGAGTGGCATATTCTGCAGGACTTGCTCTACCATACCCCATGTTGCTGGTCTGCCTGGCCCTGCCCTGATTCTTTCAGCAGCATGCATGGTTGTTAGGGGTTCTTAGGGATTGCCAGGGGTTGTTAGGGGTAGCGCTGGGAGGTGGAGTTACTTCCTTCTCCTCCTTTCTAAAACACAGCACACGGTGATCCCTTATTCTTATCTTTCCCCCACTCTTCCTGCTCTCATTTACTCCCAAGTTTCTGCCATCTCCCCCACGATTGTTGGAGTGGCCCCTCCAGGGACCTCGCCGCCTTTCCCTTGGCCACTTCATCTTTCCTCAGCATAGAGACAGACCAGAGAGACCTGAACATGCATATCTGACCAGGGTCTCCTCTCACAAGCACCTAACATCCATTCTAACCCTAGAGAAGATAGGGACTGTCCTTATAAACCTTCGCGTTGTGACACCAGGCTGCAGACACCCTGGTCCATCCTCCTGTTGCTGGCAGCTGGTTGTCTCTGCACTGGCCATAACTCCTTGCTGGCCAAGCTTGCTGTTTGGGAGTTCTGTGTTTTCTGCATGCTCAGTCCTGATCAGCCTCCCTCCAAATATCCACGCGGCTCTTCTTCTTGCCTCCTTTAGGTCTAGCAGGTTGTAACATTATCACACAGGCCTTCCCGTTTGCTATTTCAGATAATAAACCCAGCTTTGGATTTCCCAAGTCTCGCATTTCACTTTTTGTCACGGTGCACGTCATGTCAGCTGTCCTATATGATGCCATTTGCTTATCTCTGCTACTAGAACATGAGTCCATAAAGGTTTTCAGGGCCTAGAAAGGTACCCAATGGTAAGCACCCTGATATTTCTGAAATAAATAATAGCTATGTTTATTGAGTGCTTACGATATGATGATTTAAGTACATTTCACTTCGTTTGTTATCATAACTTTACAAAGAAAGCATTAATGCTATGTCCCAGTCAGGAAACATGAAGTCTACAGTGCGTAAGATGCTTGGGTCCCCAGTGAGTGTGGCACTCCACTGTGTAAGATGCTCAGGTCCCGAGTGAGTACAGCACTCCATTGTGCAAGATGCTTGGGTCCCCTGTGAGTGTAGTGCTCCAGTGTGTAAGATGCTCAGGTCCCCTTTGAGTGCAGCACTCCAGTGTGTAAGATGCTCGGGTCCCGAGTGAGTATGGCACTCCAGTATGAGATTTCTGCAAAGGAAAAGAGCCAATAAGAGATGCATGTAGATAAGACCTATAGATGTGGCTACATGTGTCCTTTTAAATACAGCAGTATAGTATATATGTCCGGACATACACAAATGCAGTGAGCTTTAGGGATTTGAATACAGAGGCTGGAGTGTCAGGATATTTAGAGCCCCAAAGGAAGAACTTTTGTTGAATCCTTTGTCCAGGGCTCTCTAGAGACAGAATTTTTTCCTTTCCAGGCTCTCAACGGATATAAATGTTGACTACACTCCTCTACCAACATAACTGTCTAACATCTAAAATCGGCCCTCGCAGTATCAGCTCGACAAGTGTCTTAAAAGTGCTTGAGTCCTGTAGCCCAGCTAGATGGCGTAGTAAACTCCCTACACAGTGCCTGAGAGCGTTCAGTCGGATAGCCGGGCTCGTCTTGTTCATAAAGCAACTGTACCTTATCCAAGGCGCACAGTCTCTTAGAATGGGCCAGCAAGAAGCCCTCCAGGGACAAACCAAGTAGAGACACCCCCAGTAGCTTCCCATCCTAGAAGTTTTCCCCAGACTTAAGACCACCCAACCCTCCTGGGTGGCCTCCACCTCGTAAGGACAGTATAGCTCCAGCCTCTCCCCTACTCACTCTGGAAGCCTTGTTTTCTCTTATATCATCTTTTTTTGAGACAGTCTTACTATCTTGTGTAAACTGACTTTCAGCTCCTAGATTCTAGAAATCTTCATGCCTCCATCTCCAGAGTAGCTGAGACTATAAACATGAGCTACTACCGTTGGCTTTGGCTTTTTCGACTTAGGTGTTCGAGTGCTGTGCCTGCATGTATGTATGTATGTGCAACACAAGCATGCTTGCTGCCCACAGATGTTAGTTCTGATTCCCTGCCGCTAAAGTTACAGATGGTTCTGAAGCACCGTGTAGGTGCTAGGAATCAAACTCAGGCCCTTTATGAGAGTAACAAATGTTCCTCATGCCAAAGCCAACTCTCCAGCCGGCTTTGCCTTTTCAGTGACGTATCATATGCTGAGAACTGAGCTGGCTGTGTTGTAAATAATGTCATCTTCTGAAAGTAAGGGAAGAGTTGAAGGGTACCCATCAAGGCTTGCTCTCCTTAGGGGCAGACATTAGTCACTGTGCTCAGTGACCTCTCAGAACAAGCTGAACCCACTTTACTATGATCAGACATAGCCAGAATGGAAGGGGGTTTCGTATGGGAAGCCTTCTCATCTGAAAGCTATGGCAACTGTGTATGCTGAGCTCTTGTGACAGTCACTCTCAGAACACACACACAGAGCAAGCTTACAGGAAGGAAAGGACAGAGTTGTGGAATGAGATGGCGCTGCAGAAGGCTCTTAGCACTACTTTACAGCCACACGAGTCAACCAGGCCCTCACTGTCTCTTCACTTGAGCATCTAGTTTATAACAGCAGGTGATGCTGCCAAATCAGATTGTCTTGTTGAGGGCTGCACGGGCCCTGCTTGCCCTCTGTCATCAGTCCCAAGCCAGTTGCAGGAGTGATCTCTGGCTAGGAAGGAATAGCAAAAGCAGAGAAACCTGTGGGTCTTCTCCTGCATCAGTAGGCACAGCAGGCTACAACTGTCTCAGTCTCTCTTTCATGGTGATTTCGTTTCTCAGAAACGGCCTGGGCCACCACAGGACCACGTTAAGGTGGGCATGCCTTATGTCTGGCATCATCTGCCAAGTCATCATGCAGCATGGGCTGCCAGTGGCCCTCAGAATCAGCCTGAGTCCTCGAGATGGAGCGGGGCAGTCCAGAGGCATCTATTGTCAACATGCTACCATGCTATACACACTTGCTTTTCTTTTACTTTTTTTAAAGATTTATTATTTATTATGTATACAGTGTTCTTTCTGCCCATATGTCTACCTGCAGGCCAGAAGAGGGAACCCGATCTCCTTACAGATGACTGTGAGCCACCATGTAGTTGCTGGGAATTGAACTCAGGACCTCTGGAAGAGCAGCCAGTGCTCTTAACCTCTGAGCCATATCTCCCACCCCACACTTGCTTGTCATTGCATCCTAAGCACCAGGCATTGCCAGTCTACCACATTCCTTCCAGGTCATTCCTTCCCACTTCCACCCCTGCAGGGATTCTGTCACTCCTTGGGGTTTCTGTATGCCGAGAGAACACCCAATTTATAGGTCATGGACATAGGTTCTATAGCTCCTGTTTTTAAGCCCTGTCACCATGTGTATGTACACACACACACACACACACACACACACACACACACACATATATACCATTGTTTATCTCTTTCCTCACTTAAGCTATCTCTCTTATCATCACAATTATCTATAACATTCACATTGTTTGCTCTTTTTGATGCATTCCGTCATATGATAACTTTACCTTATATCACATTATTATAGGAAACAGTTTTGTATACATGTCTTTACTTCTGGGGAATTAATATCTTAGGATTCAGTTTCAGGGTCTACATCATGATCTAAAATGTACTTTCAATCCATCTATCTATCTATCTATCTATCTATCTATCTATCTCTGTCTATCTATCTATCTATCTATCTATCTATCTATCTATCTATCTATCTATCGTGTTTGTATGTGTATGGTCTTTTTATGTATTGCCCCCTAAATAAAGTTGCGGAGAGGAGATGAGACCTAGTGGTGATGACTCTGAAATGTGGGCTTTCTCTCTGTCCCTCAGCACCACCAGCTCCACAGCCAGCAGCTGTGACACGGAGTTCACTAAAGAAGATGAGCAGAGGCTGAAGGATTATATCCAGCAGCTCAAGAACGACAGAGCTGCTGTCAAGCTGACCATGCTGGAGCTGGAGAGCATCCACATTGACCCGCTCAGCTATGACGTCAAGCCCAGGGGCGACAGCCAGAGGCTGGACCTGGAGAATGCTGTGCTGATGCAGGAGCTGATGGCCATGAAGGTGTGCCGCAGGTGTTATTTGTGGGCCCACCTAGAGGGCTACCTCACAGGGACCTGAGAACATGGCAGCAGAGTTCAGTTAGTAATTACCTCTGTCCGGATGATAGATAGCCAGTCTCTGCAGAGAATGGTGGCTTTCGTTTGTGTAGAAGTCCTGTGGGCTGGACTCTATTGGAAAGGCAGTTGAACCCTAGAGAAGTTAGAGGTCTAGGTTTAACCTTCCTGAGAGTTAACCTACACCTGCAGCCTTTATCAGTACATGATGATACCTGATCTCAAGAGTGGTAGAAGTCCTTATTGGGTTACCAATGCTGGTGGGAGCTGGAACAGGAGGTGACCATGGCAAAGCCATGTTAGACTCTGGCAAAAAGCTCTGGTTTCCTGTCACCCTGGGCCATTAGGAGCTCTAAGTCTGTTTAGTACTGGTGCCCTCCAAGGAGAGTTGGCAGAACAGTTCTTGCCAGTGTTCTACCAAGGTCTTGGGCTCTTCACCCATGGGCTGAGCTACTTGTTACTATTTATAGAGAAAGAATCCATTGCCCTTCATTGGAAGTTAGTTACACTGCCATCCCTTCAGCTCAGGACACCCTGCCTCTCAACCGAGCCACAGCAGTGGGGGGGGGGGGGGGGGGCTGATTGGAGCAGCTGGTGCAGGTCCTCAGCTTGGGCTGCCAGGCCGTGGTCATCACCTCTCTAAGATGCTGGTGTTTAAATCAGGGAAGATGCGGGGCAGAAGGAAGAGATGTGGGAATCCAGGCATCCCTCCTTGGTACTAACCCCTGTCCTGCTCTTTCTCTCCATCCAGCCACTCTGAGCAGAGTGCTCACAGTTCTCCAGCTGAGTTTGTAGGACTGCCTGTGAGCCTGGCCCTGAGTACATTAGCATAGTGACTGTGTCCCAGTCAGGAGCTTCTTTCGCAGACTCTTGTACCATGTGACATGAGCTATTAACTTGTTCTTCTATTTTTCACTCCGAACATCATGTTTTCTTTTATCCATAGACTAAGCATTTCCTTTTTATAGTCCAGTCAATATGTGGTGTGACAGATTTACTGTTAATTTGGCCAAGAAAGACATGTGTGTGTGTGTATGTGTGTGTGTGTGTGCATGCATGTATGTGTGTGTGTGTGTGCGTGTGTGAATGCTCTAATATTGCCTTTGCCACTTGAATTAAACCGCACTCACCTTGGACGTTTTTTGAAGGTGTAGAAGTAGTGAGCAGCTGGGAGAAACCATACCATGGACCTCAGGACCCAGAGCAGCGGTTGTCCGTGTTCTGGCTTGGTTTGGAAAAATGACAACCAGCCCCATCTCCTTTTCTCTAATGTGTCCAGCGGTGTGCGCTGACCCACACATTCCCTAGCCAGTGGACTATGTTGGAATTCACCATTTTGTTTCAACATAAAAATGGTTTTGAGTAAACCCCACTCCTCTCTGGATGATCTACCTGGTTCTTTTATAATTCCCTCTTCTTTAATCCCAGCACTCAGGAGAGACAGAAGGATCTCTGTGAGTTCAAGGCCAACCTGGTCTACAAGGAGAGTTCTAGAACTGCCAGGACTGTTACACAGAGAAATCTTGTCTCAGAAAACACATACAAAAAGCATATGCTAACCATGCGTCCCTTAGAGTGGCTCATCTCTATCTCCTCTGGGGGTGGCATGTACGTGTCTTCCTTCGAGAACATGTCTCCGTGGTCTCTGTGGGGTCTCACAGCCCAGGACTCTGGCTGTCCTGATCCCTTGTGACCTGTGGATTGCAGAGTTCATGTACTCATTTTAATATGTTTTGGCATGAGGATTCTTGCATCATCCATATACAAGCTTGAATTTTAATTTTTCAAAATAGCTAATTTCTTTTCCCATGGCCCAAGAGATGACAAGTTGCCTTCCCACAGTCCCAGAAAAGCCGTTTCCTAGTGTTTTCTTCAGGCAATACTTCAAGAGTCCTTGCCCCGACATAGGTGGTATCATCATGGTTGTCTGCCTCACAGAGGCCACGGCCAGCTCTTTCACGGGCCTAATACCACAGATACCAGGAAATCAGAGCAAACTGTTGCCTCAAGCCGCCTTGTGAGTCTCAACTGCAGACTGATGCCCGTATTTCTGGCACTCCACAGACATTCTCCTTTCCTTCCTGCAAGCTTGCTCTGTGTGTGTGTGTGTGTGTGTGTGTGTGTGTGTGTTCTGAGAGTGACCGTCACATGAACTCAGCATACACAGTTGCCATGGCCTTTGGATGAGAAGGCTTCCTGTGCCTCCCTGTGTCTGATCACTATAGTAAAGCGGGTTTGGCCTGTTCTGAGAGGTCACTGACCACAGTGACTAATGTCTGCCCCTAAGGAGGACAAGCCTTGATGGGTACCCTTCAACTCTACCTTACTTTCAGAAGATGAAATGTTTTACTTTCTGTGGACTCTTTAAACAATGCTATGTGCCCAGGGAAGACTGGTGGGCACCAGTTTTCTGGCTTCTTGTCCAGGCTAGCACTTTCCTATTTTGAATTCACGTCTTACTTCAAAGAAAACTACTAGTTAAACATTTTAGATTTTCAGAAGTTACCTCTCTGTGGGTTGGCTCAGCATGCACATGCCTTAGGTTCAATTCCCAGCATGGAGGAAACAAAAGGACCTTATCTGATGGGTAATTTCCAGTGGGGGGACCGCTCCTGCTAATTTCATTTGGCCCCTCTGAAGCAGATGCTATTCTAATTAGCATTCCTTGACCCTCCTGGCTCAGCTGCAGGGTGACAAGAGTGACGTGAAATATGGTGTCATGGGAGTGAAAGGGGAGTGGGAAGGAGCCCAGGCAGATCCCTTTGCATGGATATTTCCTCCACAACCTTAGCCTTCCATGCCAGGGAACTGACTCTCTCCAAAGCATTTTGTGTCCATTTGGGGTCCTCTAGCATCTTAAAAGGTTTTCCCTTACACCAAAGCAACGTCAGCTTGTTTGTGATTTCTATCCATGTAGAAATTCTAGCCCACAGGATGACAAAGCAGCTGGCTTGTCTACCTATCAGCCCTTCAGACAGACATGGGAAGACGGTTTGTCCCCAACTTTGGGAGTGATATCTCGACTGTGCAACCATGGCTTATAGCCAGGCCTTCCTATGCGCCCATTTAGCATGGCAGGCCTGCGGGTGTAAGCTTCTCATGGCTTTATGTGCCTTGTCCCACAGGAAGAGATGGCTGAGCTGAAGGCACAGCTCTACCTGCTGGAGAAAGAGAAGAAGGCCCTGGAGCTGAAGCTGAGCACGAGGGAAGCTCAGGAGCAGGCCTACTTGGTGCACATCGAGCACCTCAAGTCTGAGGTGGAGGAGCAGAAGGAGCAGAGGATGCAGTCTCTGAGCTCCACGAGCAGCAGCGGCAAAGAGAAGCCTGGCAAGGTAGGGCCAGGATGGCGTGCGGGTACCCTGAGTGCAGGCATTACCGTCTGCCTTTACCAAGATGGCACGAGTACCCTCAGTGTGTGCATTATCTTCTGACTTTACCTTGGACCACCTCTCATGCTGTTGCCTCAGTTTCCTTGTTTACACAGGCACCAGAGGTTATGAGATATTTGTAAAGAAACCAAATCCCCATTGAAAAGCAACATCTCACATTTTATCAAAGTTTGGGCATTTTTGCACATCACCCGTGCAATGGTCCCACCCAGCTTCTAGCTGTGCCCCACGACAGCCATCGCTGGGTTGAGGTGCCGGCACTTCCATGTTGTTATCTGTGCTTGTCTCCCTTAAATGTCTGAGCAAGGGATGCCAGTCTGCATTTACATAAAGAAAATGAGATTCCAGAGGCGAGAAACAACAGCATAGGGCTTAAATTACACCTGGCTAACGGGCCACTTCCTGCCTTCTCCACCGCCTAGCTCTCAGTGCCTTAGCAAGCAAAAAGGGTAGGTGTGAGGGAAGCCCTGGATTAATTTATATATGAACAGAGACCGGGCTTCAAGTAAAAACATTCACAGACCCTCTATTCACTTCAGCCCCTCTCCCGCGCCCCAGGGGTCTTTGCGAGAATCTGAGATCATCCTGTCATATTGTATTTCCCTTCGACAGCTGCACTGGAAAGAAAGAAACCAAAATGGTTCAGACCCTAATGGATTCTATCCGTCCCTCACTCAGGGAACTGCCTGTTCAGCATATCCATTCAATATTCCTAATATCAAACTTACCCTGACACCAGTGTGCTCAGATGCAGGACTTGCAGGCATATGCTGACTGGCTGGCCGTGGAAACAGTTTCTCACAGTGTAGTTGTAGGTACTGCAGGTTGTCTCCAGCAAAGTGGGGTACTCAGGAGGGAGGGGGGCAGCAAGGGAGGCACTGGTATTTGTGCCAGTGCTGCTTCCTCAGTAGCTATGAAATCTGAAGCACACCGCACAAACAGCTGGCAGCATCAGCGTCCCTACTTCGCTCTGCAGATGAGCCCATGACACTCACATGAGGCCCTCATGCACCCCACACACCTATTCTCTTGCATGCTATGACTAGATGCCACAGCAGCCAGACCAAGGTGAACTGCTGTCGTCCAGGAATGTCTGCTGGGGCCCATGGACAACCGTGTTCACAGTACAGTCAGAGGGTGTCCCAAATGCAGGTTTCAAATGCCAGTACCCTGTGAGGTCATGGTCGGGTCCCCCAGATTAGAGGTTTAAGAGGAGAGGGCCTCAGTAGGGGTGGGAGCTAGTCTTTTGAAGTGGATTGAGTGGAGATCAACAAGGCCTCCAGCAAGGCAAGGCCTCCTGAGATGGAAGGGAATCAATGTATCGGCCCGAAGGCTCAGTTTGCAGTGTTATCCCAAGGACAGTGGGCAATCAGGGAAGGGCTGGGATGGGGTTGGCATGGCTCAGGATCTGGAAGCTGCTATGGCAAGTGCAGTAACACTCAGGCAGGGGCCGTGTGGTGGAGCTTCCTGTAATCATAATCGTATCCAGGTTTAAGGAGACATTTTCTGTTACATTCACCTTCAGAAGCTTCGCATGGCCTTTTAAGCTTGCTGGTCAGTTCGGGACAGAACCTTCAACAGAGCGCCAGTCTGTCTATGTATGTTCTTTGGGTGTGGTAAAATGAACTTAGTGGGTTCTTGCCAAAGGCCCATGAATGAACATTTCCTCACAGTTCTTGGTATTTATTTTGACTAAGAGTACTGTGCTCTGCAGTGGCTTCAACACACAGACATTTCTCGGCTAGGCCAGGCCAGGCGGCTTTGAAAAGCATCTCTGAAAGAAGTGAAGTAACTGAGGTACTCAGTGCCCCCAATGTGTAATTCAGTAGAGTCAGATGGTTATTCTGACTCTCAGATATTGGCTCTGTGTATTATTTCAGTAAAGTCTTCCACTTTAGAGTCTAGGCTATTCATTGGTGTTATTTGCTAGGGATGAAGGAACCAGTACAGAGAAAAGAGCCAAGCTTTTGGGGGCAGGGTAGAAAGAAAATTCATGGGAGTTTGTCCATCAAACCAGCTGCAGCCGCCCAAGGGAAACCAGTGTTTCCTGCATACCCAAACTGCAAAAGCCTCAGGCAACTTGGATGAGACAGGGAGCCCTGTCTGTTGATGAGTCTTTGATAGGCATTGCAATTTGAGTGTCCTACCAATTGCTTGTGGCAAAATAGTCTTCTTTGAACTTTTTTTTCTTTCAAAATGAACAAACCATTTCTAGTCCATGGACGGTATGTATCCAGGTGGCAGGTCACAGATGAGCCTACAGGTGGCAGGTCACAGATGAGCCTACAGCATCAGTTCTGTCCTGGAGTAGGTGAGCCCGCCTATCTTCGAAGCTTCTCTCCAGCTCATGTAGCTGGTTCCTAGTTCCTATCCACATTGCGTTAGGCTTTCTGCTGTTCATGTCTATATGAAACAGACATTGTCATATATCAAAAGGCCCTGTGGGTGAGGCAGGGAGTCTTATGAAATGCTAACCTCAACCGTGGATGCATTACAAGGAGCTTCTAGAATCTGCACTGATTTCCCAGACAGTCTTGGGCCTCTGAGGGCGTTATTTGGAGAGGTGTAACCCAGGAGAATGGCACAGGAGAGGGAATGCGTTGGCCAGGCTATGCTCAGGCACCCCCTGGAAGAGGGCCACAGTCTTTTGGAGTAGGCTAAGGAGCAGGTGTGTCTCCTGCCATCGGGACTTTAGTGCCATCGTGATATATCTCTCTTCACAGTCTGTCTCCTGTTACACAGAATAGGCTTCCTGTTCTCAGGCCTGGAACACATCATCAGTGTCTATCCCTGGTCCCTAGCCCCTAGCGCCAGCCACCTCATTTTGCAGGATACCCACTGCTTAGCATATCTGCAGAGAAAATCGCTTTCTCGTTTAGACGTGGCTAATGCTTGCTTGTCACTTCAAGAGTTCTGATCTTACAACCCTTGTCTGTTAAAGGATGACACGAAGTCTCTGTGTGATGCTGCTGCATGGGGGCTCCTAGGAGAGGGAAGGGGGACTCGTCTTATGATTCCATGGAACATAACAGAGCTCCCCCATCTAGAGAAAGTGAGCTGGTATGTGTCAGCAAGGACATTTATGTGTATTTGCCTTCTGAAGAGACTCACATGGGGCCAGAGGGCCTGGCTTTGAGTTCTGGATTTGCTAGCTTCTAGCTAGTAACTGGGCAGGGTAACCCCTGGGTTTCTTCCGTGGTGGATGAAGACAAAGGTAGATAGTATAGCTGCCTTGGAGGGTCTCTAGTGACAGGGAGTAGTGGTGTGTGGCAAAGTAACTTAGACCTGTGCAGTAAGTGTCCCTC